TGAGTATATAGTATAGAATCATTGGGTGAATGCTTTCATTACTATAAATAAAATGGAAATACTTTAATTGAAGACAAATTCTGTGTTTAGAACTCATAAATAGTCTGGATGTATTTGACCCTAAATTCATATTTCACTCAATTTTATTATAATGCTATATAAGGTAGATATTACTGTGTTTTTATAAATGAGGAAATAGAAGTGTAGATAAATAACTTGGCAGTAGTCATACAGCCAATAAATGGCTTATCCAGGATTCTCCTCCAGATCTGACTCCCGACGGTCATGACCCGCATGACTCCTACATGGTCATGACCACCTTTGCAGGTGTCCAGATCTGTTCTACCAAGCATGGCCATCATTATAGTAGGACTGGTGGTGGGATTCATGCTTTTTGAGATCCCACATTCTGTGACTGCAAATTAAATGTAAGATATTGTTTACTCCAGAATCTGTTTTTAGTTTATGCTTTTTATAGTACTATTCTACCCACTGAATTTTCATGCTCCTGTTTTTTTCCACCCAGTTTATAGCATTTTAAGTATTGAAAGTGTGGTTTATCCCTGACTGGTGCCTATTTTTCAAAATGAGAATATGGCTGACAATCAGATTGTAGTTAATGGGTAATTTCTTTTTTAACATTTACCTTCTACCCCATTAATTTTTTTAAATGTTTTTTTATTTTTGAGAGAGAGAGAGAGACAGAGCACGAGCAGGGACAGTCAGAGAGAGAGGGAGATACAGAATCTAAAGCAGGCTACAGGCTCTGAGCTGTCAGCACAGAGTCCGATGCAGGGCTCAAGTTCACGAACTGTGAGACTGACCTGAGCTGAAGTTAGACACTTAACCGATTGAGCCATTCAGCCACTACCCCATTTTTTAAAATTTATGTGTATTTGCTAGTAATTTGTGTGTTTTTCTGTAATTAACTTTTTCATAGCTAATATGCTCAGTTGGTTTCAAATTCAAGAGGTAGAAACTAATAGCAGTAGCTTACCATAACTATGTAGCACTTACTCCGTGCCTGGAGTTCTTTTAAGCATTTTTGGGATAATTGATTCTATCCTCACCATACTGATGAAGTGTAGTATGGCTCATTTTGCAAATGAGTGAAGTGAAGCAGGAGATACATATATATGATCAAGCTGGTCTGGATTTTGTCATTTATTTAGTCAAGGTTCACCTCCTTTGGAAAGTCTCATAGGAACACAGCTCTCTTTTCAGAGATTGGCTGGATTCAGTGTTTACAACTATGAACTTGTTACAATTCTTGCTCATTTCCTCCCTAGCCTAAAGCTTCCCAAAGGTGGGTACCCTGTCTTATGCTCTTGTGCAGACTCAGGACTTAGCATGATTTCTGGCATTCACTGAATACGTAGTAAGTGCTGTTTTGCCAGGACAAATTTTCCCATTTTAAAAATGACTATATCTTCTCTGCCTTTTTCACAGAATAATTTACAAGATCAGATGTGGGTTCATGGCTTTCAGTAAGCTTCAGAGCACTACACAAATAGTAAACCAGTTACGGAGTGCACCATATATACTTAATGAAGTCTGATGCTTTTAAATCCTTTAGACATTAGCAAAGGAGTGGGCACCTAGGACACAGGATCTTGAAAAACCATTGTGTCACTGTATTCTGGTATTTTTAACCAGTAGTCCTAATGATTTCAAATGATTTTTGTATGATCATTGAATTTCCCCCCTCTTCTCTACAGAAGGCATAGGGAACTGTTGATATCCTGATATTTAAATATTGCAGACTCATCCTGTCTAGATTCTCCAGTTGGTTCTGCTGTCTAATTCCGTTTTCTCAACATAGGCTGCATATGAGACTCATAGGACTGTGGTTTTGCTTTTTAACTGAAGATTTCTTAAGCTCTGCTTTCTAATTCAGTGGATCAGAATCTCAGGATCAGAGGGAGAGATCAACATGGAACATTTGGTCATCATTGAGGGATTAGATATATTATAAATACATTCTAAATACAGACTGAAAAAGGGGCTTAGTGCCACCACAAATATTTTTAATAAGAAATACAGTTGTTTCATATTTACTACCTTTCAAGAAGACTGACACTTATTTTGTTAATCTCCTGTACATTTTACAGTCCATTTGTGTTGGTGAGTTCAGTGGACACTCTTAATTACTCAAAACCGTATGGCCATGGCCAGCAGCTGATAAATGGGTTACAGTTTTTTTCCAGGCCAAAAAAGTCATCTTTGCCTTGCTTCGGAGAAATTTGGGGTCTAGACCTCCTGACCCTCACTTATTTTATTTTTACCAGAAATTGCAGCTGTATATGTATAGACATTTCACACCTTGCTTGTACAAATGAGGGCCACCAATTCAGGCTGGAACCTGGATGAAGCTCATCAGTTTGCATAAAACATTGTCAGTTTTACCATCTGCTGATCGGATGGTTTGAGTATATACCTCTGCCCTTAACAACAAACAGCACCTGCAAGCCAGGCCCTTCTCAGAGAATATAGAACTGAGCACATCCAGCTCTTGTCAGTTCTTCATTATGGAGAATTGCTTGAAGGACATGCAGTCTATTCTAGAGTTACTCCTATATCAGGTTGGGCCACCAGAAAGCTGTTTTAAAAATAACCTACCTTGCCTGACAGACGGTAGCTACACTTGTGATCATAGCACAATTTATAAAGTGGTGGGAATCACGATGTTTGCACACCTGGAACTAATGTAACATTGTATGTCAAGTCTACTTCAATAATAATAATAAAAAAAGCCTTACCTTGTTACCCCTACTTTAAATTCTTCGTTGATAAAAGGAGTTTGAGTTTTCGATCCCTTGCATTGGGAGTTTCTCCAACAGTTATATCATCTAGCCGGAGAATTGGTATGGACAATTGAGAATTTTTGTTTTTGGTTTTTAATTGTAAGTATAACCTTGAACCTATATGCTGAAACTTATTAAAATAGAGCATATTGGAAAAGTTGGATTCCTCTTGTTCCACATATATCACATCAGGTACTGATTTTTGAATGAGTTTACGAAGTAGAAGTATACTACATTTTTTTCTAATTATTTTGTGACACTTAGCCTGTCTGTGCATCTTATTTTTTATATTATTGACTCAATTTCTGGCTTATTTTTTCCTAATAGAATAAGCTATTTGTACTTTCATTAGGGAAAAAAATTCAAATTTATGATATGTTTTATGAATGAGTCGTTTCTTTATTCTTACTAAATATTTGTACGTTAAAAAAATGAAGAGAGGCTTTTCTGCAATTTATGAATGAAAACTGGATACTTTTACAAGTGGGGGAATCTGTTATAAGATTATTTTATTTCACTTATTTTATCAGTCAGGATTGCATTAGTATCCTACGGCAAAAACCCCAAGGATCGCCAAGATAGGGATTTGTTGTTTTAAAAAATCTCTTGGTATAGGGCACAGAGAGCTGATGCCACCAAGGAACAAGGTTTTCCCTATTTTTTTCTCACCCTGGCATCTTCAGGTATGGGGATTTGTCCTCAGGCTTTTCCTCTCAGGGATTCTAATGTTCTATAATGGCTTCTGTGCCTCTAGATGTATTTCAAACAAAAGATGGAATGGCGAGGGGTAAAAGTCTTTCTTCTTTCAAGATTTGTCCCTCCAGCCCCATCTCAGGAATTGTTTATATTTTATTGACCCAAAACTAGGATATATTGCCTTCCTAGCTTGCAGGGAAGATGGGAAAATAGTACTTTTACTTTAACCTATTAAGAGAAGGCCTGTGATCTTTCACGGTATCTGCCTGATGTATTCTTATTGAAGATGGACCCGTGTGTGTGTGTGTGTGTGTGTGTGTGTATGTGTGTGTATACATATATATATATATGTATACACACACATACATGTGTATATATATAGTCTTTAGTATGTGTGTATATATATATATATATAAATAAACGTATGTATGTATGTATATAATCTTTAGTATGGCTACTTTTTCTATTCAGGTTTAATTTAGGAATTCAGAGCACATTTAATCTGAAACTGTTTACATAGATAATCTTTTGAGGTAGAGAATAGTTATATTTTTTAAAGTGTTGAGATTATGTGATAAGTCAAATTCCAAAACCTTTATGATTAGATAATATTTCAAACTTTAATGCTTTTAGAACGAAGACTTTGTAGCCTTTTGAACACTTGCTAGTTTTGGTGAGACAAAGTGAACGTAGTACCTGTAGGTATTGAACAGATGATAGTTTTCATACCAAAATAGCATTAAAGGAGCTTACGGATTTAATTGGAGGAGGAAAGTAATCAATATTGGAAATGAGATAAAATTGCACAATAAGTAATGCTTTTGTGTGAGAGTAAAGGACAAGGTGTGACAGAGCGAAGGTAACATCCCATAGTAAAACAAAGACCAGTCGGGCAGCTTGAGTTTCAGTCCCTTTGTACCACGTCCAACTAGCTGCACTCTACATGTGATGTTAATCTCTTTGGTCCTCGGTTTCCCCTTCTTTTTTATTTATTTTTTATTTTTTTATTTTTTATTTTTTTATTTATTTCTAGGAGAGAGAGAGAGAGAGACAGCGTGAACAGGGGAGGGTCAGAGAGAGAGGGAGACACAGACTCTGAAACAGGCTCCAGGCTCTGAGCTGGCAGTCAGCACAGAGCCTGATGCGGGGCCCGAACCCACGAACCGCGAGATCATGACCTAAGCGAAAGTCGGAAGCTCAGCCGATTAAGCCACCCAGGCGCCCCATCCCCTTCTGTTTTATAAATAGTAATTATACCAACCTCACAGTGTCATTTGAGTCCCCTACTAGAAAATTGCTAGGCACGTGGTAATGCATATCATGTATTTAAAGTGCCTACTTAAGATCACTGTCAATCCATTTTTAATGACTCATTTAACTCCACATATATATGTGTAGTACAATTTAGTAGGATTTATTGGATTTTAGAGAATATAGTGGTACTCTCCAAATCTGTAATTTTGTCTCTTTATAACGTGTTAATGTTTTTCTCCCAACCAGGATTTTAAGAGTGGACTTGGTATTACCATAATTCCTATGAATGTCGCAAACGTAAAGCAAGTGGTTCGAACTGTAAAACAGTCTTTTGAAATAATCACTCCCTACAGGAGTTTTAGGTAAGCTATATTCAAATGTTTGTGTTTGTATTATTCCAAGAAAGCTTGGGTGATCTACTTTTACATGGCTAGTGGTGATTTTATTTCTTACGGATCACTTAGTAAAATTATGTTGGTTCTTTTCTGTTATTGTCTATCTTGTTAGCCAGTATATAAAAACACCATGTAAAAGTGACTTGAATTATTACACACAGCCTACAAAGATATTAGCTAATTTCATGAAATTTGAGTCTTGTCTTTACTGAATGTATTTTTTTCTTAGTAACTAAGGCTTGATAAATATATTAATTTTTTATCAACAAGTATATAAAAAGATCCTTCACATTTTAAAGGAATAAAGAAAGAATATTACATTGTCTTTAAGCTGTATTTTTATTTATCTTTTTTGAGCCTAATCAAATGCAATCCTCTAAAATCAATCCCTGATTTCAGTTTTTCCATAATGATTTCCTAAAAGGAACTCTTGCTTAAAATGATGGTGATGGATCTCATCGCACTTATTGATCAAATATGTATATATATATATACATATATATATGTATGTATGTGTGTGTGTATACACAAACACACATGTTTATTTATATATTTAATGTTTATTTATTTTGAGAGAGACTACATGAGTGAGCATGATTAAGGAGGGTCAGAGGGAGGGAGAGAGAGAAACTCCCAAGCAGGCTGCACACTCAGCACAGATCCTGAAATGGGGCTCCATCCCATGAACACTTAGACCATGACCTGAGCTGAAATCAAGAGTCAGACACTTAATTGACTGAGCCACCCAGGTGCCCCTTAGTGATCAGATATTTTTAATATTTCATTATATGTATTGTATTATGGTATTCTTGTAATTGCTTCTTAAGACAGGAAGAACAAAATGTAAAGTTCCTAACATCCTTTAATAATCTATACTGACTCCATAGCTCTAGCACACAGAAAAGGCATAAGTCAGTATCTGTGAGCTCAACCATATTAATTCATTTGTCACAAATAATCAGCATATCACAGGGTAGTTTGCAGGTCAGAGACAATTGTCAGAGGCCTTTGAAGGATTAACAATTACCTAGCAATTTCAAAAATATTCCCAAGTCTGTTACTCATTTTATCTGTCAGAATGTGTCTAGTGGCTCAAATTTTGAGGAAAAAATCACCTAAAGAATAAGAAACTTCATTTTCACATATGCAGATTCAAACCTAAACTGAAAATGTAGACATTACCTGAACTGTTTTTACTCACAGTACTTCTGACACAATATATGTGTTTTTTCCTCACCCCAACCACTTCTCCAGATACCAAGTGGGTATCCTACAATTCAGTCCTGTTCTGACAGCAGTTTCTTGGATTGAGCATTAAACCCCACGCATTTGAGGTCTCAGTCCCACAGAGCTGCCCTCACATCAGACTCTAGTCGGACTTGGACCCTCTCCTTAGCCACACTTCTTTCCAACTTGGCTGCACATCAGGACTCCCACGACCCCTGCTGTGCCAGATTCAGTAATTTGCTAGCTAGGGTGGCTCACAGAAGTCAGAAGGACAGTGTAATTATTATTACCAGTTGCTTATAAAGACTGCATCTCAGGAACTTCCAAATGGGAGAGCCACACAGGACAGGGTACAAGGGTTAGTGATGCAGAGCTTCTGTCCTTCCCTGGATACATCAGCCTCTCAGCACTTTAGTGTGTTCACCAGCCCATCTGAACTCTGTTGTGCAGTATATATTATTGGGGTTTCATTCTGTAGGAATGATTGATTGAATACTTGCAAGCACCTCTCCCTGTTGGTCTGGGCTGAAATGTCGAACCCCCTTACTCCTTGGTCTTGGCTTGGTCTTTTCTCTTGACCAGCTCCCATCCTGAAACTATTTAGGCCTCCAGCCACAAATGATCTCACAAGCCTATAAAAGACACTTATCATTCAGGTCATTCCAAGGGTTTTAGAATCTGTGTACCAGCAACTATAGGCTGTGACCAACCTCTTTGTAATAAAATAGAAACCACCTAGGAGGTTTATTGAATATTACACTGATGATGGAAACAGAAAGTGCTTTGAAAAATATCCATGTAGTCTCCTCTATGTTTCCTCATGGATTATTTGCAGTGTTAGTAGTCTGTTATTTTCATTATTTTTCAAAACATTTTCATCTTCAGAACAGAAAATTCTAATGTGAACATTTTGCAGGTCATTGACTTAGTTTGGAGTCCTGTGGCACATTTTGTGGTGCATCGTAGGTACTCAGTAAACATTTCTTAGAGTGAGCCTGTGTTTACTATTTTATCCCTTTCCTCAGGTATCCAATAAATACTAAGAATTAGGATAAATCAGAACATGACTAAAAATGAGTTAGAATTCCATTAGAATAGTAATCACTTAAAACTTTTTTGATTTCTCAGTTTCTTAAAGCCATCTGGACGTTCTTCTAATTAAAAAAGACAGTCTATTTTTAAGAATGAAAAAAATCAAAATTTTGGTGGCTGTTTTTGGTAATTTCGTTTCAGACTATCAGGGAACACTTTCCTGGCAAAATAATCCAATAGTCCTGAAACTCTGAAACCGCCAGCTTCTCACTGATTATTATATAACCACTGCTTAGGACGCATGGCCTCTCAGTTAAGCTCTTGACCTCAGAAAGCAATTTTTAATCTCCTGGTCAGAAAAAAGTGCATGTTCGTTTTGGTTTGAGATATGTAAACAGATTCATAAGCAATGTGGGATGCTAAAGGGAAAAAAGTAGTTTTTAAATTAGATGATTTTTAACAGAAAAGACTGTTCAGCTGCCTGGAAGCCATATATTTCAGCAGCTATTTAATTTGTGAGTGAAATGAATATGCAAACTGAACATACTGCTTAATTGGCCTTTACAAGGGAGATCGATAATGCAGAAACATTAATTGTTGCAGCTTTACAGCCGAGTCTGAGAAAGAGAAACAAGAGTGGATTGAAGCTGTGCAGCAATCAATAGCAGAAACTCTCTCTGATTATGAAGTAGCTGAGAAGATTTGGTTCAATGAGTCCAACAGGAGCTGTGCAGATTGCAAAGCCCCAGATCCTGACTGGGCATCCATCAATCTCTGTGTTGTCATCTGTAAGAAGTGTGCAGGTTATTAGTGATAAGTTATGCTTGTCACTGTTCGGTGGCAGATTGTCACCGGATGCTCTTTATTGTCCTATGTGATGTGTTTCAGCTAACAGTTGTGGAAAAATAAAAACAGAGAAAGCTTATTACATTTAAATTAAATTTAGAAATATCTTCTCATTCCACTCTTCTCTTATGCATGACTTAGATGTAGAAATTGATTTTTAAGCATGTAATCATTATGTGTGCCTACTGGTCCATGTGTGGAATTTATGAAGACACTGTTGACATTTTTAGATTTTAAGGTGAGTGTGTTTCATAATGTACCCTGAACACACTTGGATCTTTGTGTGATTTGCCTATTTTTCCCCCAGTCATATTTTTTAGGATGTATATTTATTTCATATCAAGGTCATTCTGAGCTCTAAACTTGGTGTACCAGATCTGTTATCTCTTTTAATGAGAGTTTTTATGTAGAAGCATTTCTGAAGAGTATTGAGGTTTATGATGGAAATGGTACTATGACTGGTTACCTTATGGTGACTTTACAGCTTACAGACCATCTGACAGTTCAGTGTACTTGGGGGTTCACAATTGTGAACACCCGACGCACAGCTTAGGTGTGTGGCCACAGAGGTCTTGCAGAAAGTGAGCTACATCCTAAACTTTACTTTCCAGCTCTACCAGGTGTGTGCTGGTCCTGGGAATTCAAAAGATGTCTAAGAGTTGATACATCCTCCACAGATCTATAAATAGTAATTTCGGTAGAGCACGCTAAGGGCAAGGCCAGAGTTGAGTATGGGTTTCATTGAGGGAAGAAGGAGGAAGAGCACAACCTCAGCTCGAGCAAAGACTGGGACCAAGCCCTGTCTTTTCTAGAGCTCTGTGCCTCCACATTTCTTAGCACACCAAGATTTTTGTCAGGACGTAATTAACATCAATAGCAGTAAGAAGAAGCATCAGCTAACCCCGCTCTACTTTGTATTTTTTCCCAACCTTTTTTGCCTTTCCAGGCTCATTGAAAGAGAGCTTTTGTATTGTTCAAGGATATTCTTTCTACTTATTTCCCCTGCTTTTTTCTTCTCTTCTCAAGATCCTCATCTCATCACTTACTCCCTCTCTGTAATTATGAAACCATGGCTTCTCTTGTTTCAGCGTGTATACCCAGGCAAGTCTGTCCTGTCGACACTGGCTTCCGGAAAACTTTCTGTGTACCATTCTCTGTCCCCTTTTCCCTTCATAGACCGGGTACTTTCAGGAATAGAATTCTGCACAGATTTTCTTCATTTCTTTCACTCCTACTTTTTCTTCATTCTATAATCAGTTTTCTTTTCTCTGTAGTCCAGTAAAAATGTTCTCACTGTATATACCAATGCATTTTCTCTCAGTTTGTGAGTGGTCAGTTCCTCTCTTGTCATCTCGGCAGTGTTCGACACTGCAGTATTTGACCACCGTGTCTCTCTGTGACTTTCCCTCCTCCCTCAACCTAAGATACCATCTTCTCTTAGTGTGTTCTTAATTCTCTGGTCATGCTTTTTCAGGTTACTCTTCCTTTGTCTGCTCCTAAGATACTTGTGTTCCTTTGGGTTACATCTTCAGTTGTCTTTCACTCTGATGTTCCTGATTGATGGTATTTATCAGTTAAATTCAGCAGTCACTTTTAAGTGGGCAGTTCTCACCCTGTTGAACACCGTACCCTTAGGTCTGCCTACTGGAGTCTCTTTTTGGATTTTCGTGATAGCTCAAAAACAGCATGTTAAAAATGGATCTCTTAAGGGCACGTGGGTGGCTTGGTTAAGAATCCCACTTCTGCTCAGATCATGATCTCACTCTTAGTGAGGAGCCTGCTTTGGATCCTCTGTCTCCCTCTGTCTCTTCCTCTCCTTTGCTCATGCAAGCACTCTCTCTCTCTCAAAAATAAATAAATAAATAAATAAATAAATAAATAAATAAATAAAACACATAAATGGAGCTGTTATTGCTGCCCAACTCATTACATAACACTGAGCATTCTCATATATTCCACATCTTGGTCAGAATCAATACTGTCTACCCTGTAGTCAAGCCTGAAGCCTGCGAGAGCCTCCTGCCCCTTCCCCCTTCCTTAAAGCTCACCAAATTCCATCTGTTCTTATCATCTCAGGATCTCTACATCTGTACCCCCTTTTGTTTCTCCTCCTGCCTCAACTCGATTCCTGTCATTTCTTGCCTTTGCTACCCCAAGGGTTCCTGCCAGTTCTTCTGCTTGTTTTCTGAGCTTGACCCTTTTCTGTGTTACCTTCAGGTCATCTTTATAAATGCAAACCTATGCATCTTTCTGCCATTGGGATTTTAGGACCTGGTGCTCTGAGAAGTTTCCATTTTAACAAAAGGAAGAAAGGAACCTCTTCCCAAATGTAGAAAGAGGAGTGAGCTTTCATGCTCATAGGCAAAAAACCCTTAAGATAAAGACAGTGTCTTGTTTACCTTTGTTCCTTCTCAGCCTAGAAAGCGTCTGACACAGTCCTCGGTGCCCTGTAATGACTGATTGATGATTTATGCAGCATAATTGAGTTGATGAGAGTAGAATGCTGAATTTTATTCTCTGTCAGGCATAAGCATAGAATAAAGAATCCACTTCAGATTTTTAGTTCCATGTTTATTAGAGTTGTAATATGTAATACTCGAAAAATATTAAGGGCTTGAAGCAATCATCCTAGTCTTTTCTCGAGCTAAGGTTGTGCTCTTCCTCCATTTTCACTCAATGAAACCTGTCCTCAACTCTGGCCTTGCCCTTATCATCCTCTATAATGACTATTTATAGATCTGTGGAGGATGTATCAACTCTTAGACATCTTTTGAATTCCCAGGACCAGCACACACCTGGTAGAGCTGGAAAGTAAAGTTTAGGATGTAGCTCACTTTCTCCAAGACCTCTATGACCACGCATCTAGGTTTTCTTTCTAGGAGTACAATGATATCCATGTTCACGTACATGCGACTTAACACACTTGTCATAAAAGTTTTGATAACCAGTAATTGCTAATTACCACATCATAAATATGCACATATACGTAGGCATACACATATATACATAGTTTTAAGACTGTAGTTTTATACCACCACAGGGTAGTGGTGAAGATGGTTACTTTTATTTTCATTGGGGTTGGGATTTCTATAAACTTACCACCACTACTCTTGATGCTATGGGCATTAAAGAAAGTAGATATTGGGGTGTTTTCAGTTGATATATACCTACACACATACGTGTACACATAGACATTTTTTAAAAAATATAGTCCCATTTACATAAATTAAAATAGAAGTATAATTGTGTTTTACCTTCAGGACAACATAGATCTTTAGGACCAAAAGATTCCAAGGTTAGAAGTCTAAAAATGGATGCCAGCATTTGGAGCAATGAACTCATTGAGGTAAGTCTGACTTACCTGTGGCAGTGGTCAGCAGGGGTCCGGTAGTAGCTGGCAGTGGGTGGCACAATTATGTTAGGAGCTCCGTGAGAAAGTTTTCACCACACTGCACAAGTGGCTTACAGCCTGTTTGATAGTAGTAGCTTTCGACTTCAACTTTTAGAATGCCTCTTAAATGAGATAGTTATTTTAAAAATAAAAAGTACAAGGAATCTAATAGTAATAACTACGTTTAAAGGCTTGACAGCTTTTTTATTTCTAAGCCAAAATTTTCTTTCTTTCTTTGTAACCCAGCATAGATAAAATATTAGAAAAGTGAATGAAAACGTTTGGCAGAATTTTCTATTTTTCTTTCGGCCATGCTCTGTTATTAACTGCGCTCATCTGACTTTCTGTCTCCCATTTCCATTTTCTTCTTGGATGCCAGTACCACTCTCAACCACATTAACCCACCTACTCAGCCATTTTAAATGAATCTGTCTCCATGTGAGCTTCAAAAATTAATAATGCCTTTGCTGCAATTTGGTTGCTCGCAGTTTCTTTCCTAGCTAATCTTGTACTGTTATTAAAAGCAACGAGGCTGTATTTAAAATAGGAATAATATCTGCTTTCACACTCCATCTTCCTGAAAGATTTGGGTTTTTCCTGTGTTTTTGCATATTTTATACTGTTATATTTTAATTTGAGTCAGGTTTTTGCAAACTCAAATGCATTTTATTAACTAATATTGTTTCATAACTTTTTAACAATTCAGCTCTTTATTGTCATTGGAAACAAAAGAGCAAATGACTTTTGGGCTGGTAATCTTCACAAAGATGAAGAATTACACATGGACTCACCTGTAGAAAAGAGAAAAAACTTTATCACTCAGAAGTACAAAGAAGGAAGATTCAGGAAGACCCTACTGGCATCTCTCACCAAAGAAGAATTAAATAAGGTATCAACAAATATTTAACAATAGACGTGGATCTTGATGTCTTTTAAAATATGTGTCAAGGGGGAGGCTTGGATGGCTCAGGTCATGATCTCATGGCTCCTCAGTTTGAGCCCCGTGTCAGGATCTATGCTGACAGTTCAGAGCCTCTAGCCTGCCTCAGATTCTGTGTCTCCCTCTCTCTGCCCCTCCCCAACTCACTCTCACTCTTTCTCTCTTTCTCTCTCTCTCAGAAATAAACATTAAAAAAAAAATTTTAAATACATGTCAAGGATTTTGAAAAGAATTTTAAAATGTCCTTTGCCGTCTGATAAAAGTATTGCTTAATGTTACTTTATTTCCATTTTTGAGATTGTACTATTTACTGATTTTACCATTATTTTACTTAAGAATTTCATTATCAGTGGTGGATAAATTCTTTGTTAATAACTGGAGTTTTTAGGTAACTTAGGTCCATTATTCTTTTTATCCCCATACTTAATTGTTGGTTTTTGAGAGAGAGCTTGCATATGAATGCATACTTGTGAGCAGGGGCAGGGTAGAGATACAGGGGAAGAGAGAAAGAATCCCAGGCAGGCTCTCTGCACTGACCATGTGATGCAGTGCTTGATCCCAGGAATCGTGAGGTCATGACCTGAGCCCAAATCAGTGGGCTCAATGAAGCAGATGCTTCACTGACTGAGCAACCCTGGCATCATCACACCTAGTCCATTATTCTTAAAACTGTGACAACTTCCCTTATTTTCGGGACAGGACACTAAACATAACTTCAGTTCGTACAGTGCTGACATTGTGTCACCAAAATCTACATCCTTTACTCAGTGTATTTTTAGAAGCAGTGGTTTGCTTTGTGCTGTTGGCCTGAGTGTTATTTTCCTTTGGCTGAGTGATTCCAGATCTACTTGTGCCTGTTTTATGCTGCCCACTTGTTCTTCACCCTTTTGGCAAAGGAGTTGTTAAGCGTCCTGCCTCCTTTCTTTTTTTAAATTGCTTCTTCGACTTCCTGTGTGTTAGGAGGCTTGTCTATGTAAAGATACTTAATACATGTGCTTTTTATATGCCTGTTGTTTTTGTGCTTAGAGAATACATTCTTTCATGGTTATCAGTTTTCTGGCATGCTTTTAGTGGCAGTGCTTATGGATAAAAATCCTCAAATAAGAAATATCATGCTGAACATCTTGGAAAATAAACACATAAAGACCCTTTTCATACTTCTCTAGAAATTATATTATACAATTGACTTACATATCAGATAAGTTCCCCTAAACTACTTCTCTAGAAATTATATTATACAATTGACTTACATATCAGGTAAGTTCCCCTAAACTAAGTTTTTAGTCTTTGTACATCTTTGGTAATAGCAAAGTGAGGCCACCAATAGATTTTAAGGCAATGGCACACAAAAAGTGAAGGATTGAATGGGCACTTGAGGTAGAGGAGAGTGAGGGAGATGGCATGGGGGAGGGACTTGGGAGCTATTATTTATATAGGTTATTATTAAGACATTTATTAATAAATTATTAATTTTATTTTGGGTGGTGGTTTCATTGGTGCTAATTACATTATTAAATTGTAATTGACAAGTTATACCATAGTCCTGGAATAATAACAGGGTAATGTTAATGAGGGATTAGGATTAATTCTGTGTTCCAGAGGTCCATAATACATAAACATATGAATAGTAAATTGTGAATTTGAGGAAGTAATTGATAATGTTTGGACACCAGGGCATATCTCCTTCCAGTGGTTTCTTTCTTTCTGATGGTGATTGCTATCTTATTAGTAGGTATACTGATGCCCCCAAATAAAATCCTCTCTGCCACACCACACAAGTTCCATGAGCTCAGACATTAGATAAGTCTTACATTAATTATTAGCAATTGCATTCTTCCTAAAAATATTACAGAGAAGTCTACCAATTAGGATTTATTTCTACAGTGGGGTTCTTAAAAGTATCTTAAAAGTGGGGTATCTTAAATGATACTCTTAATGTCAGCAAATAATTTATATAAAAAACTTATTTTATTGAATATATATATTTTTAATTTTTTTAAATTTATTTTTATTTATTTTTTGATAGAGACAGAGAGCAAGCTGGGGAGGGGCAGAGAGAGACAGGGAGACCCAGCATCTGAAGCAGGCTCCAAGCTCCAAACTGTTAGCACAGAGCATGATGCCGGGCTTGAACTCATCAACTGTGAGATCATGACCTGAGCCAAAGTTGGATACTTCACTGACTGAGCCACCCAGGTGCCCCTGAATATATATATTTTTAATTGGGATGTGATTTACCAAAACACTGTGTAAGTTTATTCAGCTTATTGATTTGATACATTTACATATTGTAATATGATTACCATTGTAGTTGTAGCTAACACCTCTGTTACATCACATAATTATCATTGGTTTTTTTTATTGAGAACATTTAAGATCTTTTAACAATCTTGAGATAAATAATACAACATTATTGATTACAGTCACTGCACTGTGCATTATATCTCCAGAAGTTACTTACTTTCTAGTTGCAAGTTTGTACCCTTAAGAAACATCTCCCCATCACCTCTCCCCTCCTCATAACCCTTGGTAACCACCATCTGTCTTTTTTAAGTTTGTTTATTTTGAGACAGAGAGAGAGAGAGCGCAGGCTGCATGTGTGTGTGAGCTGAGGAGAGGCAGAGAGAAGTAGAGGGAGAGAATCCCAAGCAGGCTTCATGCTGGCAGTGCGAAGCCTGACTCAGGGCTTGAACTCAAAAACCACAAGATCATAATTAGCCAAAGTCAAGAGTTGAATGCTTAACTGACTGAGCCACCCAGGTGCCCCATGGAAACTAATCTGTGTTCCTAGGAGTTTGGTTTTTTTAGATTCTATATATAAGTGATATGTAAAAAGTGTCTTTCTCCGTCTGGCTAATCTCACTAAGCATAATGCCTTCAGGTTCCATCCATGTCCCAAATGGCAGGATTTCCTTCTTCGTCATGGCTGAATAATATTCCATTGTGGAATACTATACTATATTGTTTTTATTCATTCCTCTGTTGATGGATACTTATGCTGTTTCCATAATTGGCCATTGTGAATAATTCTTTAATAACAAGAGATTGCAGGTATCTTTTTAATATTGTTTTTATTTCCTTTGGATATATATGCCAGAAGTAAGATTGCTAGATAATATGGCAGTTATATTTTGAATTTTTTAAAGAACCTCTATGCTGCTTTCTCTAGTGCCTAAACCAGTTTGCATTTCCACTAGTAGTGTTTAATGGGTCTTTTTTCTTCTATGTCTTTACTAACATTTGTTATCTCTTGTTCTCTTGATGACAGCCATTCTATTGGGTATGAGATTTATCTCATTGTGGTTTTGATTTGCATTTCCTTGATGATTAATAATGTTGAACATATTTTTATGCAACCGTTGACCATTTGGATGTCTTCTTTGGAAAACTGTGTATTCAGTTTTCTCTGCCTACTTTTTAATTGAATTGTGTGTTTTTGTTGTTGAGCTTGTGTGTTCTTTATATATTTTTGATCTGTGCTCCTTATCTGAAGTTTTATTTGCAAATACTTCTTCCCATTCTGTAGGTTTTCTTCTTGTTGTGTTGATTTTTTTTTCTTGATGTGAAGCAGCTTTTTAGTTTGATACAGTTCCACTTGTTGATTTTTTTCTTTTGTTGCTTGTGCTTTTGGTGTTGTCACCAAAAAGTCACTGTCAAGACCAATTTCAAGGAGCCCTTTCTTGTGTCTTCATGTAGGAGTTTTAAGGTATCAGGTCTTATGTTTAAGTCTTTAATCTTTTTTGAATGCATTTTTGTGAATGGTATAAGGTAGGGCTCCAGTTTCATTTTTGCTGTATGTGGTTATCCAGTTTCCAATAGTATTTGTTGAAGAGACTATCTTTTTCCCATTAAGTGTTGTGGTGGATAGATATTCATTGCACACTTATAAGTCTGAGTTCTTTTTCAGGTTCTGGCAATACAGTTGTGCTAAAATGTAAAGGTGCTTCTTTTATTCACTAGAGTGGTAGTCAGGTAGACTGTCCATGAACAGCCCGAGTCCAGTAAATACACCATAGCAAATACTGTGTTCTGTGAAGCAAAACAGTGAGCAGATGAAAGAATAAGAGTAAACACATGATTAAATGGGAAGACAGTCAAAGGCTATTGCAGTGGATGAGATGTTAGCTGGCTTCTTTTCCAGCACCCTCATTTTGCAGATGAGGTCAACTAAGACCCAGGGAGGAGAAGGGATTGCCTAAGGTCACCTAGCAAATTAGTGCAAAGTCAGGTACGAGTCAGGCTGTTTGATCCTGATGGAAAGGAAATTCTTTTGGTTGGTGAGACTATGGTAGGAAAGATAAGTACATTTATTAATAGTTGACCATCCAGGGCTGGAATTGTGAATGCATCCTGAGACCTCTTTGCTGTACACCCTGAACTCCCTATTGGCATATTTAATGAGCAATTATTTGGAAGTTGCATTACAGTGAGTAAAATAACCAGTGATCTGTCCAGGTGCATCCTGTCAAGAGGGAGGTGAAATGGTGAATTAGTCCTGGGCTAAAACATTAGATGGAGTCAGGGTGCTGAAATCACAGGGTCGGGAAGCAAATGGGAAACCAGTAAAAGTAAGAAAGAAGGAATAAGAAGAGATGTGAAGGCAGCTTTACTCGAGGTAACAGCAAAAGGAACAACAACACAGTTAGGTTCCAGCGGTTCCTAGCATTTGTACAGTGATATATAACGTAAGTAATTCTTATTGTTTTATTACCTCCTGCCTGCTCTTCCTCCTTCTTCCCTATTACTTCACACAAAAGGAAAGATACTAGGTTTGCTTTGCACGCTTTCAAATTCCCAAAGCACAGCAATAGTTTCAAAAATTATATAGATCTTGATTAGGCTGAAAAATACATACATTCAACATTCATATGATAAAAAGATATAATAGGTATTTGATTAACTGCATTTTAAATGTTTTGCATTTTCGGAGCACTAGCCATTATCATAGTACATAAGCATAAAAAATGTCTTCCTGAGCAACTACAAAGGATTGGAAGATTTGGAACATCACAGCAATAGAACAATGAATTAAAACTTGGATGTAATTTACACTAGATTAAACTAGATTAAAACTAGGTTGTAATTTACATGCATACAAAGCAGTCCTTTTGAACCTATTGCTTATTTCAGGGCATACTTATTATTAGTTTTCCTGGTTAAAAGGAATGTGGACTTCATCTTATAAATGGTTTGGTAGACTTTCACTCATTTTAATAGCTAGAGTTGCATTTTCTTCCCTTTAAAGGTCTTTTTTTTTTTTTTTTTTTTTTAACAACCAGGCTCTATGTGCTGCTGTAGTGAAACCAGATGTTCTGGAAACAATGGCTTTGCTGTTCAGTGGAGCAGATGTCATGTGTGCAACAGGAGACCCTGTGCACAGCACCCCCTATCTGCTGGCCAAGAAGGCAGGGCAGAGTCTGCAGATGGAGTTTCTCTACCATAACAAATTCTCAGGTTAGTCCCTGTCCCTGTCTCAGCCTGGTCTCTTCCATGTATCTCTGAAATTACTGAAGCACAAGTCTGTTCATTTCTCAGATAAAAAGAACTGTCAGAATGAAGACAAGTGTGATTATTAAAAAGATGGAATATGCTGAAGACCATGTTTGGCTTAATTTCAAGGAAAATGTTTAGGAAATAAATCTTTTCTATTTCTTTAATCTTACAAATTAAAAATTAAAACAGTTAATCCCACATAATCGTTTCACCAAATTTAATTTCCGTATGTGAATAATAAACATGACTGCTTGTTTGCAAATTCTATGCAAAGTAAATATTTCTGTGTATTTATTCTGTAGTGAATTTGAAGTAACTTTTCTTTTAGCTCAGAAGTCACCTGTATATTCATAAGCAAAGGGAAATAAGTCACATACATTTTAGATTTCACAGGTATGATTTCTGTAATTTTTCCAGATTTCCCTCAGCATGACATTCACTCCGAAGGTGGATTAGGTCAAGAGCCCTCCCAATCCACATTCCTCTGTGACTTTCTGTATCAGGCTCCTACCACTGCTTCTAAAGTCTCTTCAGAGAAAAAACTGCTTGAAGGTATCTTTTCTGCTTCTTTTAGGTTTTGTTATCTGATAAAACTTTATTTCATTATCAAAACAATTATGTTTAAATTTCGATTTTTTCCCCCCTTAAGATGTTAGATTTGATATTGCAATGGAGAAATCTTTTCTTTTTGAGGATTTTCTAAATGCTTCAAGGCACAGATAGTATTTCCTGCGCTGCAGCAGGGATTTACCACTGGGTTGGAATGCTGTATGAATTCTCAACAGAATTCACTGATGTCTACTTGAGGGCCAACCAGCTCTGTTTCAGGATTTAAGCGTTATTCTAAAGAAATGTGAAACTCAGCCCTTTTCCTTATGGACAGACACCCTAACTGGTGAGATAATACAGATAAATGTCAACACAAAGGCAGAAGTGACAAGCTTCCAGTACCTGTTCTGTTGGCATACTAAGTGATATGAAGTATTCAGTTTTGATTATAAGTGTATGCATATATAAGTAGAATCAAACTTAAGCATGGTTTCAAAAAGTGATAGGAAGTAATTTAACTGAACAGCTTATTGTAGGTTTGGGGAATTATCTGAGCAGTCACGGTAGGCATATATCCATCTCTGCATCCAGCTCCTGTGTCAGGCCTGTGTTAAGAATTAAGGATTACAAAAATGAATAAGACACAGGTCTCATGCTCACTGTTAAATACATACGAACTAATTTGAGAAATGTAGGTAGAAAAATGTAATGAGATCTGTCCTGCTGGAACAAAGAGAATTTAAGAGAGATTAAGCTGTACAGGCCAATTGGTATTGGGTGTTTAGAGGCTGAGGAGCCTAGATTTAATTCCCTAGGTGGTATAATCCAGGTACACTACTCTTATCAAAGGAACAATAGGCTGAAAAACTCACTTCAGGTTGTTAATCCTGATTCTTGTGCACTTAAAGTGATTATTTCAGTATAAATGCTTTTTGCCCAAGGAAATGATATCCCTAAGTAGAATTATATTTTTTTATTAGGTTTTCCAGAAAATAGTAGCTATCCTTTAGTGAGCAGGTACTATGTGTAGAGCATTGCTTTAGGGACTTTATGTACATTGATTATAAGTCTCATAATTAAAATGGAGACACTCAGCAAGAGACAGAATTGTACATCTGATTTGTGTTATAGTTATTGTAATGCTTTGACCTGGTCCAAGTGTGATGGCTGGGTGACATTTTAAATTTAGATGTTTCTGGTTCCTTCAGCAATTGGTTTTTAAATACCTTCCTTTACTCAATATAACCAATAATAAATGAAGATTTTCTAGAGATTTTCTGGTGCTCTTTAGTATTTACCCTTAGGTGGTCAGCAGTTGGTCAGAAATGGGGAGGGGAGTACCTGAATAATCTGTGAATTGACTGTAGTAATTATTAAAATAATTGGATAACAGGCAGTTAATGTACTTGTAAATAAATTTACAGGTTTTCTAGACTATTTTTTCTGAATAGTGGGAGATCTTAACTCACCCTTCAGTTACTTATAAAAAGATGAAATAGGGAATTTGAAATATGAGGTTTTCTTTCTAAAACTTAAGTGTATCATAAGCACTCATCAGTTAAAAATAAGCTTTCATTTATTTTTTGGCAAAAATAAAATACAAAATAAACATCGTGCTTATAATATTTGTAGACTTACTGGTTTGTTTTGGTATATCCTCGAAATAGATTGCTTTTCTTAATCACTTGAGGAATAAATTAATATTTGAAATTGGTAACTAAATCATTCTTTCCTTTTATCTTTTATAAATTAACTGTGGATTTAGAAACTGGTGGATTCTTTGTATATGTAATTAAATTAGGGGTGTTTTCTCATTTTGGAACATCCTATTTTAAGAACTATATAATTAAGCTTTTGTACTTTGGCTATGTAGCACAAAAGATACTATTTTATTGGAAAATAATCTAGTAATGCACTCTTTGATGGTCTTCATTTTTCCATCCAGTTTGTCAGCCAGTTCTATCATTTCAGACTCAAAATAGATCTTGAATCAGTTAGCCCTATCATGTACTGACTGGGCTGCAGTGCCCCCCATATTTGTCTTCCAGTAAGTACCCTAGTTTCCTTCCAGATCATTCTACAAAAGCAGATTTCATGATCATTTTTAATGATTTGTCAATTCACAATCAGGTCTTATATTTTCATTGCTTGAATATATTTAGCAGCTTCCCTTTCCAGAATATAGCCCTGTTCCTTATTGTGACTTAAAACACCTTTCTGTCCCTTCCCCGCTTGATCTCATATTACTCCTCCCTACGCTTACATGCCTGAACACACTGGTTTTTTCTGTTTCTACAATATGTCATGTTCTTTTCTGACCTTCTGGACTTTTGCACTTGCTGTTCATTTTGCAAGGAGGATACTTCCCTCAGTCTGACTTTTTCTCACTTTGCAGGCAACAGTTTAGTGCCACTATGGAATGCTGTCCCTGGCAGCTCTTTCGTTTCATTGGGCGCTGCTTATTTCCATCATGGCATTTATGGCATGAAGATGACCCCTCCTTTATTGATTTGTTTCTTCCACTCTCTGGAGTAAAAGCTCATTGGGGCATTTGCATTTGCTGGCTTACTCGAGCTTAGCTAATCTTTGGTGCCTGAAATAGTGTCAACACATAGTTGTTATGTATAAATATTTGTTGAATAAATGACCATTTCTCTAATCAAGTTATTACAGTGTAAAAGTGCAAGGGATTTGTCAATATTTTGTCTTTGATTTGTGCCTAAAAATATATAATTGCTGGTCAACAGACATACGAAAAGATGCTGAACATCACTAATCATTAGGGATTAGTGATCAACCACTTCACTTGTCAGTATGGCTAGTACCTAAAAGACAAGACATAGATGTTGGCAAGGATGTGGACAACCTCATGTGCTGCTAGTAGGGATATAAATTGATGCAGCCACTGTGAAACAAAGGATAGAGGTTCCTCAAAAAATTAAATATAGAAATACCTTATGACCTGGTAATTGCACCACTGGGTATTTACCCAAAGGAAGCAAGAACAGTAATTCAAAAAGATATATGCAGCATCATTTATGATAGCCGAATTATGGAAGCAATCTAAATGTCTATCCATAGAAGGATAAAGGAGATGTGGTTGTGGTGTGTATATACAATGGAATATTACTCAGCTATAGAAAAGAATGGTATCTTGGCATTTAGGACAGTATGGATGGACCTCAAGGATATTATGCTAAGTGAAATGAGTCAAGGCAAATACTGTATATGAATTCACTTATATGTGTAATCTAAAAAGCAAAACAAATGAACAAATAAACAAAAAACCAGAAAATCATAAATACAGAGAACAAATCAGTGGTCACCAGAGGGGAGGTGGTTGGGGAGGATGGGCAAAAGAGGTGACGGGGATTAAGAGGTACAGACCTTCAGTTATGAATTAATTAGGTCACGAGGATGAAAAGTACAGAATAGGGAACATAGTGATATTACAATAATGTTGACAAATAGTGACAGATGGCAACTGTGTTTATCACGGCAAGCCCTGCGTAATATATAGAGTTATCAAATCACTGTTTTGTACCTGAGAAGTATGTTGTACAACTGAAACTCCTATAACAGGACATGTCAACCAGGCTCCAATTAAAAAAAAATATAATTGCTGACACAAAGCAATTTGTTCAGTAAATGTCTACTTAAAAATGAAAATGTTGAACTATCAAGAAACAAAGTTCTGTTTGTTTTTTTTCCTTCTTTCCTCTCTCAAGATGCCACACTGGTGTTACCCTTAGGAAGGAAAAAGGAATTATTTGGAAAGATTTAGAGATGAAAGTGTGGTTGTCACCTTTGGTCCTGGCTGGCAAGCTCCTGGGCTGCACCCCCTCTGCCGGTGTTTGTCAGGACAGCCAAGGAGCAGCATGATTAAACAGGAAGAAAACAGTCAGGATGAAATGCATGCAGTCCTTTAGAGAGCGACGAGAGGCTTCAGATTGTCAGTTGAGGTTTTCAGGATTCAAAGTTCTTCTAGCCTCAGGTTATGAAGACTGATCTGTAGTTTTCTTTTTCTTTTTTTTTTCTTCTCTTCTCAATTTAGTGTTCATGAAAAGAAAGACTGATAGCTTGTGTTAAACCTAAGTATAGAGCTGAATAATAGCATCCTGGTTTTGTTTTGTGTTTTCTCCCCTCAACTGTATTTTTTTTCCCCTTGGTGTATTACTGTGATTTGTTGACATGGTGATAGATTTTTAAAAAGCAAGTGGTTGATATGGTTTACTAGAAACTCTATATCATCTGTTTATATTTGATTTCATAAATTAGCATTGAGGAATTTTGAAGATCTTTTGTTCTATAAATGCCTGGCTTGTATAGTCTAAAAATGTTTCTTCAAGACTACAACACATTTATTTTAAATGAAAAGAATTCCTGGTGTGTATTCCTATTTTCAGTGAATGCTGAATCCCATCTTTTTAGGAAATTCTTCATCAGGAAACAGCCTCATGCTTTTGAAAAATAATAGTTTTGTTTTAACTACCTTAAATTTACTCTGCATATTTGTATTTGAAGCCATGACTTCTCCTCTCCAATATATTTTAAAAATGGGCATACATGCTTCACATGTATAACAAGCACAAAGAAGCAGTATGTAAAGTAAGTTCCCAGAGCTTGGCTGCCTGAGATCTACTCTCAGCTCTGGTGCTAAGTACTTGTGTGACCTTAGAGAAGTCAGGTAACCATCTTGTGCCTCTGGACAGGCTACGGGGAGGGATGTGTAAAAGAACTAACCTAATAGGGGTTTTCTGAGGGTTCAGCGAGTTAATGTAAATAAAACATGCAGCAGAGTCCATTGCACATATGACAATGATAGGATGAGGAACAGCAGAAAGCAGCAACGGAGGGGCTGTCTGTATACACAGCTGCTTCAGATTTCCATTTAGCCTCAGAGTTTATGCATATTCTATGGGTGGTAGCTGACGGCCAACGTACCCACCATACTGTCCACATCGCTTCACAGTAGTGTTTCAGTAGGTCACCTCTGGAGTCCT